TTTCGACTAATCAGGGATTGCATTGATAAGGCAGCAATTTCTCATCTTCAGCCACATGCAATAACCTCTAAGCATTTCAATTGCAAGAGCTTCCCTGTGCTTACCGATGTTAGGCAGGACTTTCTTCGTATTTTTGTTTTCTACAGACCTGGGCATAATGTTGTCTTAATTGGTAATAAATCTTTCATTGACGATAGCAAGTCCTCCCTCATATCCCGAGAAAGTGTTGGCCGTGAAGATGGAGAGGGTCTAAAGCAGTGTTTCATGATAATTAATTGCAATTCCTTCCTTCTCCATTAACAGGAAGATTCTGAACGTGAATCTTATTTTAGGCGTGATGCTAGCTCATGGTTCGCAAACGATAGGTACAACCTCATGGTCACTTTCTTTCCAACCTTCAGGCAGACCTGGCCAACCAGTACCTGAAAGCTGGCATGAAGAACGTGGGCACCGTGTTCCTGATGACTGATGCACAGGTGGCTGATGAGAGGTTCTTGGTGCTGGTAAATGACTTATTAGCATCAGGTATGTGTCTCATCACTTTAATTGCCCAACTCCACTTTCTCAGTGCAGATTTGGTTAAATGCTAGGTGAAATCCTAGGTTAAACTGTAGGATAAAAGTAGCACTAAGGTCTCATTAGTAAGGATGCACTTCATTGTCTGGTAGACATTTGTAATTTTAGATGTCTCATATCTAGTTTTTCCATATTTTTGTGGTCCTCTTGTACTGCCTGTGGATGTTAAGTGATGTGTCTATCATGCTGTTGTAGCTGAGAAGAGACCTGAAGGAATGTATTGACAGAGGATGAGTATGACCTGTGTATGCTGAGCATTCATACCCTAGTGGTCTGATAATGTGATTGCTCCTGGCTGGAATATTTAACCGGAGTGTGTGCAAGTCGATAATACAAAGTCACTGACTGAGATGTCTATGAGTGTTTTATGATTTCTGATCTCATTCCAGTCCTTTAACTACTTTATTCTTCCAGTCATCTTTGAGTTGTTAAATTGCTGCTTGCCCAAACAATTGGAAAACAGCCTGTCCCCATGTGAATCCTTTTTTTAACGCAGAATCTGGGGTGGTTGTGTGTGTGTGCAGCATGCGGTGCAACGGCAGCGCACGTGGGAGTGTGCGAGCGTGTTGCCATGAGCACGCGCGGTGACGGGAGCGCGTGTATTCCCCAAACCCCTGCCAAGTTGCTGTGCGCCGCGTGTCGCCTTATTTATAAGTTGGGAGTGGGAAGATACCAGCTGGCTCAGGTGGCCTCTGAATGGTGGGGGATGGAGAAGCGAGAGCACAGGGGAGCGGTAGATTGTGAATAACTCCAGAGTTGATGTATGCAGCTATAAATTGGCCATATGGTCTGGGCAGCAAACAAGGCCTTCCTATGAGAAACCAATAACCAGGAATAAGGACCTGGTTTATTGTAGAGGGTGGGGTGTATCTCCTACCACCTCCCTTGCACCCTGCAGATCCAATGAACATGTTGTGAGTTGAAGTGAAACTCTGCAGTTTCCTGAGCAAGGAGCAGGTCCTACAGCCTCTTTGAAACACTCTTTCCAGCCCGGTTGTCACCCCGTGTGATCCTGTGGATCTGTGCTGAGGCCAGAAGGTGCCTGGTAGGAGACAGCTTCACTGTAGGGGCAATCCTACACGCTGTAGACTTAGCTGAGGAAGGCCATCATTATCTGCCATTTTGGCCAAGAAGAAATAAGCTTTTTTTTGGCCTTTTCTAGTTTTTTGAAACATGGTTCTCTTGTTGGAACAAGCTGCAGCTGGCCCTGGTGATCAGTCATCCATCTTGTCTATGTAATAATAAATATGGATATTTATTAATGTCTATATTGACAATATCCTATTCAATATTGATGATTTCAATCAAAACAAAAATCAGAAGATAAGTGAATAGATAGAAAAATAAGTAATCACTAAAAAGACAGTTTACTGGGTATGTTTTTCCCAATCAGTTGCATAACTATTAGCTTTTAAAAGTTCTTAAATGGTTTAAAAGCCCTAAAAAACCTTTTAAAAACTTTATTTTTTGAAAAGTTTTAGTGATCTGATTATTCTTTGAATGTTGCTGGAAAGGGCATTGTGGAACAGCTGCAGAAAGTGTTTATGTAACAAATCTATTTACAAAACTAAAATGATTACGTTGCTATGTAAAGCATACTAGGGATTCGATATTTTGGAGATCTGATTATCACTATGCATCAGAAAAACATGACTTTATGTACTTTGATCTTTTTATTTAATTCTCATTTCCTTTGTGCTCTGAGGGAGCTTGTTTTCACAACTGTTTGGCAAATCCGATTGTTTTTTAGCAATGCTAAAAACCTCTAAGCTGCTTTTCTGCTCTTGGATGTCCAGTGACTGTTCCTGGAAGGGCCTTTCCTGTGCTCTGATGGGGAAGGCTGACTTTGCCTAGCTCAAAGCCTGTAACAAAACCAAGATGAGCAAACCAAAGTGTGCCCTCTTGTCCTAGGTGAAATCCCCGATCTCTTCGCTGATGATGAGGTGGAAAACATCATCAATGGTGTGAGGAATGAAGTCAAGGGTCAGGGCTTGGTGGACTCCCGGGAAACTTGTTGGAAGTTCTTCACAGATCGTGTTCGGCGACAGCTGAAGGTGAGGAGGTGGCAGGGACAGCAGGGATCTTCAGCAGTGACTTTGGGCCAAGGGCACCTTGCTGGTAAACCTTCGGGCTAACTTGACAATAGGCAGCCAAAAGAATTAAAAGGCTTTATATGAATTGCGCATCACGTATTAGGAACTGGCATGCTTGCAGGCTTTCTCTCCTTACAGCCCAGCTTCCCAGCCCTAGAAACCCTTATAACAACAGGTTAATATCCCAAAATGGTTTAAAGATTCTCCAGGCATGCCCACTCCATGGAGAAGAGAAGAGAGCACAAGGAGTTGGACTTTTCCAGGGAGTCACTGACCATGTAGGTACCTCGGTAGTTACGTGCCTGAGGAAAGCCAGAAACCAAAACACTGGGGGATTTTGACTGGACATTATATGTACATTTGTGAAAACAAAAATATTCCTTTAATTCACCGTCAACTTTAATTACAGCTTTAATTTTTTTAACCTAAATGGGGTTCATGGGCTGGTTTGAGGGACATGAAGACACTGTGTTTTGAGGGGAGGAGAAAGTGGACTTGTTAAAGACTGACTTTCACAGCTTCAGAAAACAGATGGTGATGAAGGTGCTGACAACTTATGGAGAATTTTGAGTCAATGCCAGCCTGGCCCATGACACTTGCTGTGCAGATATCTGCCAGGGCTGACAAGCAGGAGAGAAGTAATTCATGCAATGAGTTATACAGCTTCCCATGCTGGCACTGGCTCAGGTACTTTCTGCTCAGTTGTATGGTAGAAACCTGCCTTGTGTTCTGGTCTTAGAAGAGTTCATAAATCCGGGCACAGTTTGTACAGACAGGAAGTTGTTATAGAAGAAGGAGTTGGGTGGTGGCAGGTTTTGTTTTTTCTTGGTTTGTTTCTTAGATGTCATATCACTATTAAAACTGGAGTGGGGTAGAGAATAACAGTACTTTACCTTGTCCTGACTTCTGCTCTCATGGTGAGGAGTTTCTTTCTGGAAGGGGGAAGAGATTGGGCCTTCCTGAGATCAACTGGGCAGGTTGCCTGTAGCAGGAGTGGCTGATGGAAGATGGGTGACTTAAGACTAAGCAGAAAGAAGACTTCTGAGTTTGAACCACATCAGTCCTTTTGAGTGCTGGCTTTGGGAAAACCATCTAGGCAACCACATTTCAAAACTGTGGTCCTGTCAGGAGAATTTAGATCCACTGACAGTAATTCCTTGTTGCACCATTTGAAACAGAGTCTCTGCTTCCAGCCAGGTGAAAGGTTTACGTCATTGCTAAAGCTGTGAAGAAAGGGATTGCTTATATTCGATCCAGACTGCAGCCTTGAAAGTTTGCCAGGGTTCTGCTTCGGACCGTAGCAGTGCTTAATGTGCCTGCTTGTTTTTGTTGAAGAGGAAAAATGTGTTTACTGCTAGATTATGCATTTTCCTGGCCCAAAGTGCAAGGGCTCCAAAGTCAAGGTTGCTGTATCTTACCTGCTGATGTGAGGATTTCCTTTGGAGTTGGGCTCTGTGCCTGGACCCTCGCTATCTGCTCCCAGACGTGCTGTCTCAGCTGCTGCATTTCTTTGCCCTCTTAGGTTGCGCTGTGTTTCTCACCGGTCGGTAACAAGCTGAGGGTCCGTAGCAGGAAGTTCCCTGCCATTGTGAACTGCACCGCGATAGACTGGTTCCACGAATGGCCTCGGGAGGCTCTGGAATCAGTCAGCCTGCGCTTCCTGCAAGAAACGGGTAACATTGAGGTGAGCTCGCTGCTATGGCACACTCAGCACCATCTCACTGGTCCGTGATCTAGATGTGTCCAAGCTTTACTTGGTTTTGAATTCCTCTGGAGCGTACAAATTCTGGCATGACCAAGTACAGTGCTGTAAGCATCCAGCTGTCGCCTCAGGTCAGCGCAAGCAAAGAATCAAAAACAGTCCTATGAGAATGTAGCAATGGATTCTCTATTCACCTTTGTTACCCTCAGATGCTTATCCAGGACATCTGGATCATCGTATTTGGAGAGTAATTGCTGGCAGCACCATATTATGTTAAACTGAATCAAACCAAGCTCATGAAAGATGGGCAAGTTTTTCCTGGTGTATCATGGATCTTAGCAGAAAGAGAACCATTGACACCACGCTCAGATATACTTACACACTGATAGCATAGTCAGTGAAATTACGGTTTTGTTACCAAAAAAGCAGCTTGCAAATCAATGCAGAAAATAACCTAACACTTGTAATTATTCAGTGGAACATACACGTTCTCTCCACATGCATATCTGAAAGTCTGTAATTCTCAAGGGCACAAGTATGTCTGCCTCTCATTGATGACTACCAGCTACTAGACCAAAAGAGATTCAGTTCTGTTTAGTTTTTCTGTGCAAGATTTTGGAAGAATAAAGTCTAAAATGTTTCTTTATGAGTGTGCACTTTCCCCATTTATATATCAGAAAAAACCTAAATTTATACTTAAAAGGCTTTGTTTTATAGAGTTGAATGCTAGAAAAAAATTGCTTGGAAGAAGATAAAATAAGAGATTAAAAGATATAAAAAGAGGTATAAAGTACAAGAGCAGATGAAGTTATTTTAGAGATAACAAACAAAAAGGAATTGACTAAGATGCTACATCCTGGATTTTGCAGCAACAGAATAAAATGTTAATAAATTCCTTTATATAAGGCAGAGGTCTATATATAGCACTTTCTTTCTTTTTTCTTTTTTCTTTTCAAAAAATATTTGTCTTTTCATTTTAACTTCAGGTTTCAGTGAAAGAGTCAATAAGCAAATTCATGGCCTATGTCCATACGAGTGTCAATGAGATATCCCGATTGTATCTGAGCAACGAGCGCCGATACAACTACACCACTCCCAAGTCATTCCTTGAGCAGATCAAACTCTATCAGAATTTGCTATTGAAAAAGGGCAAGGATTTAACAGCTAAAATGGAGCGACTAGAGAATGGCCTGCAGAAACTCAATAGCACATCTACACAGGTGAGAACTGGTTGTTTGGGTCCAAAAGTGGATGTTTTATTGTTCATGAGATAAAGACATCTCTGTAACCTGGTTCAAAGAGAAAGGTGGGGTCCTGGATGAGCAGTAGTTATGTCCTATACCAGAAAGGAGAAGGGAAAAGATGTACATGTGTAAAATCTCTTTTTTTTTTTTTTTTTGAGCCAAGTTAATCTCGGTTTAAAGACTGCAATCAGTTGAGATATGGATTCGTTTGTATCTGTGTATATTTTAATAGCTGTGTTTCAGCGTGGTCATGTAAGAGCTTATAAAACACAGAACTGTGCGTATTTAGGGGAAGATTAGTGATTTTTGTGGTTGCATACAGAAAACCTACAATAACCTCATAAAGAATTATATCTTTCTTTATATTTGAATAGAACATCTGTTAAAGCTGGGCTGAAGTTCATTTCTCACCATGTTATGCCATCTATCTTTAAGGCAAACTAATGCACATACAGTGTGGACTGTCCCACCTAAAATACATGACATACCTTTGAAATAATGGCACACTTATGAAATAATGAGTAGCTAGTGGCTAAAAGAAAAGTGGAATTTGTTGCCAGCTGGAGTGAGGCTGGAGCAAGAAGCCTCTGTTTATGAGGTTGATTAAGATGCAGAGTACTGAGGACAAATATGTCAAAACCGAATCTAAAATTAGCTTTGGGGTCCTAAAATTAAACACTTAAATTATCAGATGTGCGTAATAGTCAAAACTGCTGTTAATTTGATACCAGTGTGGATATTTAGCACTATTGGAAATCATACCAGTTAGATCTTGAATACCTATTTATATGTGTAAACTTTAGCATTCACCTGTACAAAAGGTCTGTCGTGGCGCTGAGGAAGCGGCAAGACCTTTTTTAAAGATTCGGAATTCTTGATGTCTGGCCAACTTTCTTTCCCTGCTTTTCATTAGGTTACCTACCTAAGTGTCTTTCCCTAAAGGTGTTGGCTGTCCTTCTCGGTACTCAAAAAACTGGGAGCTGGGCTCCAGCTATTAGAACCTAATAGGCTAGGGAAAAATCTGTGGGATGAGTCATTTGTTTTTGAGAACGGCGCTTGCTGGGAAGAGGTCAGCATTCTCTTCAGAGCCTGCTGCTGAGTAATTTTTAGTATGACTTTGGTTAATATTGCATCAGAGGATTCTGGATTCCAGTCTTGCTTGCTCTATCAATTAATTGCTGACCTTTGCGATGTATTTTGTGTTCTTGAAACAAGACAGGGAAATCAGATAAAATGAATCTCCTGGGAGCCTGCCCTCCAGGTTTTCTGCTCTTTAATAATTCTTCTTTTTCTGTTTTGCTGTTAGGCAACTAGTTCTGCTTCCCGTTTGGAGTCACAGTACATTATCCTGGAACATCTCATTTGCTTGGCTTTTCCCATTGTGCTTCACATTACTAATTACTTATCAGATTCTCCAAGTCTCGGGAAGCTGCTCATGGATTTTCCACATTCCTTAGTGCAGTTAGAGACTGAGTGCTGAACTTTTTGTGGCCAGGAATTTTATTCCATGTGTTAAGGCATACTTTGGGTCTATCTGCTAACACCTTGATCTGCCTATTATACTGACGTTGCATATGCGAAGGAGGGTAATAACGTTCTCTCTTTGCTGGGAGATGACAGTCTGCTGTGATCCTCAGTCACTCTGTGTAGTGTTATTCTCTTGTAATTTTTGCCTTTTTTATTGCTTACCAGCCTAAAAGGCATCTTTTGCTTTCACCTGTGTTGGCAGACACTGAAAAAGTCAGTGGTGTTTGTCTTGCCTTCCCTGGAGGTGGTAATGACTTTCCTGTGACATATCTGTATTATTATTTATAAAGTACTTGTCTCTTGGCTGCTCCACGACACAGCGGAGCCCAGTGTGTTGACTAGACCTTAGCAGGACGAGTCATTGCAGTACTGGGAACTACTGTTAGCTGCAAGGCCTCATGCATTTGATGAGGTTTGAATTATGTATCCTTGCTCAGGACATCAAATCTCTCCCTGCTTCTCCACATGGAGCTTCTTTTTATCTTCATGTTATTTTCCTGTGGCCCTGGCGGTTCAGTTGTCCATGCCTGTATCAAAATGCTGCTCACCATCTACCCCCTGCCTTTTGCCTCTCAGTGACACTCCAATCTTGTAGACTGATGGCTTTCTAGTTTTCAGTTTTCCCACTGTTTTGTCTATTCTCCGTTTCCTTTATAATGAGGCAGGACAAATAGATGTTCCCAGCCTCCCTCTCCAGAATGGCTTATATTTTATATGTTGTCACCTCTTCATCCTCTCAATCTGAGCACAAGCCACAGTGTTCCAAGGAAGGAGGTACCACACAGCACGACAATATTGACCATGCTGTTTTCCTTGCACATCATCACGTGTGATGTTTTTGCATCCAAATGTTCCTTGTGATGTTTTTCCTAGCCCCAAGCAAGAGCTCTGCCCACCTGGAGGCTGCATCTCAGGATGATGGATGCAGTGCTGCTAATCTGAGCTGTCTGCAAGACTTGATTTTCCTTGGGGATATTGGAGGATGAGGGTATCAGTGCAAGGGAGGAGACTGTGCATGACTGATGGAGAAGGCTGGGACCATGAGAGACTGCAAGACAGGGACTGTGTTGTGAAGGTTTTCTGTACATCTCTTGATAATAAACATTAATAATGGACAGGCTTGGTCACTTCTGGCATTTGAACAAAGCTTAAAACAGCTGGAAATCTGGCAAGCATTTAGATTTTCTCAAAAAAAGGGGGGGAAAAGTGTGATATTCATGGGCAGAGGAGGACTTCTCATGCCCTTGTCTCTAACTGTGCTCTGTTTGGGACTGTTCCAGCAGACTTTTGATGGGGAAGGAATCAGGGCTGTGTCCTACTTGCTTTCTCTGAGACAGCAGTGACATGCCTAAGGTTTCTGCTGTGCCTGTGCCTGACTGCAGGTGGTGGAATGAGGTCTCCCTTCTCACTGGTGTGTCCAGAGGGATTTGTGTCTGCGTGTTATGAGGCGTGGGAAGGGAGGAAAAATAGATGAATGTGCCAGACTGGCTTTGCTTGTGGTTGTGAGCATGACATTAAGGAATATTGTGCTAAGGGAGAACTGGGGGAATACAGTTCCCAAGTTTGCCTTTCCCCTACTCAGGACATCACTAAAAGAGAGAAAATTCAGTTATTTAGCTACAGCTCCTATTTCCATGTTTCCTCTGTATAAATGCCAGCTCACCAGCAGTAACCGCGTGGCTGCGGTGTTTAAGCTTTGGCCTCCCTTGAAAACATGGTGATTTCCTAATGTGATCTAAAATCCTGCTGTAGGAAGGCTCCAGTTTAACGTATGTTCCCTAAACACAGTAAAGCCTTTGGGCAGAGACTTGGATCATATTTGATGGGAATTTAAAGTGCAGGAATAACCTAAGTGGGCAGTTACTTTCATGGCAGTACAGACTGGTCTTCTGTGCTCCAAGACATTTGGATTCCTTTCAAACAGAACCCGAAATCCGAGGATGTTAGAGCCAGGCATTTACCCTTCAATTACTATATGTACTTAGCTTAAAGTGGGTTTTGTTAGGATATTTTCTATTATTACAAGCTGTGCTGCGTTTACATCTGCTCCTTTAGTACAGCCATTAAATGGACCGGAGAGGGCTAAGGGGATTTAATCCCTGATTTGTCTTGTAGTTGGGTAAGTCCCTTAAAGCTTGCGTTCGTATTTGCATCCAACACGCGATTACCAATTTTGAGCGGAAGGTCACAAGCCGTATCTGCAATCAGCAAAACATCCCACTTCAATTTCCTGCACCCTCCGAAGACTTAGGGCTGAACAAAAAGTTGTTGCTCCCTTTGCTGACTGCAGTGATTGCGCACTCCTGCGAGCTCCGAGTCATTTTGATTTACAGTTGCATCTTTGTCCTGGTGAAAATAGCCTCGTGCTGGCGAGCAGCAGGAGATGAGAATGGATTAAGTGTGCAGCACAGGAATACAAAGAGAATTCTAAGAAACCGCTCTCCACTTGAAGCTAATACAGAATGTCAATAGCTTTGGTTTATGTGATTGCAAATTGTGCTCTCCTGGTATAAAAATGGAATTATCAACAAAAGCAAAGGTCTGACTTATATTGTACTAAGTGTTTTTACATAGGTAAAGATGTGCCTGTGGAGCTATAAGCAATCTGTTATGAGCTCAATGGCAGAACAGGGAAAGACAAAATGTGCTCTATGATCTGTGAAGAGGCCGTGTGAGTTTGTGGGAATGGGTGCTCTTGGAAGACCATGCCTATGGATGTGCCCACAGGGCATACGTTGCACCCCATCCAGAGAGTCCTTGTGCCTTGCAGGTGCAAGAAGCTGCTTGTGAAGCAGTTCGTACAGGAGCTGCGTGTTCATTCCTGTTGAGATGTCTCTTGTCTGCTGGCTGAATGGAAGAGCTTCCCTTCACCAAACCCTTTTGACACTGCAGTTTTCCTCCTTCATGTTTCCATCCTCTGAGTCTTATTTACTTCAAAGCCCCAGTTCATTCTTTGCCTATGCCTTTGGCTGACTTTTCTCTGCACTTCCTTTAGGTTTTGTACCTCTGATGAAGGCTTTGCCTATCAGCAGATCCCAAATTTTACGTCTCCGGTCTGAGAAATTCCATTTTCCTCATGAGTTTGTAGAATGTCATAGTTGTAAGGGACATGAAGCGGGTCATTCCTCTGCCTTCCATACCCTGAGCATGGGCAGGTGAGGAGGGAGTGCACTGCCAGCATTTTTGTAGGAGCACAGGACCTCTGAGCACAAGTAGTAGGATGCACTGGCGGGGAGCCCACATTGGAGAGCCCTGTTCCTGCTGTGTAGCTGCTTATCAAAGCCTGTGTAAGGGAAAATACTGTGCTGTGTTCTGTGGATGTCAAGGCTGAATAGAGAAAGCTTAACTGAATTGTGGCATGTATCATCCCTACCACAAAATATGCGTGCACAGTGCATACATGCTGTATTTATGAGCAGTGCAATACAGCTTCAGATACTGTCCTCAGAGATGGCTGAAACATGGATGCATTTGGCTTTGTAATGAGAAGAGCTTGCTGCAAACATCTGTAAAGCTGTTTTCTTTAGCTGCTGCTTAAAGCTCTCCTGTGCTGGTACACAAAGGCCTGTTCAGGGGCTAGGCAGGGGTTGGGACCATGTCTGGCTGCAGGGAATAGCCCTGGGATGGGGAGGTCATGCCCACCCGCCATTTCTCCCCATCATATGCTATTGGGGAGGGCTACATTCCTCCTTTTGTGTGAGTGCAGGATCAAATGCAGTAGGACTTTGGTCCATGGCTAGGCTCATATGAGGTATGAATCTAATCTGGAAAGATCTACAATGAACATTTCCACCTGCTTCTTGGTCGGTCCTGCCCAAAGCAGTGTTCACGATGCCTTGGTATCTTCCAGGTATCTCAGCAGAATAAGCCGTCAGTGGGACAACCTCTGTAGGAAGATGACCCAGTGCTGGGTTCTTCCTTCCCAGGATTCTCACTGCTAGCAGGTCTCAGGTTGCCATGTGTATCCATATGAATTGCTGCTGCTGGCAGCTGCTCATCCCTGTTCCTGAGCCAATGCTGATGGGTGGTGGGGGACAGGGTTGCTGAGCATCCTTGCTCCATCACGGTTCTTTCCTTGTAGGTAGATGACCTGAAAGCCAAGCTGGCAGCCCAAGAAGTAGACCTGAAGCAGAAGAACGATGATGCTGACAAGCTGATCCAGGTGGTGGGAGTGGAGACGGAAAAGGTGAGCAGGGAGAAGGCAGTTGCTGACGAGGAGGAGCAGAAAGTGGCGCTGATCACTCAGGAGGTCCAGCAGAAGCAGAAGGACTGCGAGGAGGACCTGGCCAAAGCTGAGCCTGCCCTTGCAGCAGCTCAGGCAGCTCTGAACACCCTCAACAAGGTAGGGCAAATGGAAATTTCACAGAAATAAAAATTTCTCGCAGGGAAATCCAGTATCTCTCCTCTGTGGTGGTAGGAGCGGTTTCATCCCTGGACCCAAATTTTAGTGCATTTTGTTGCAGCTGCCCTGGCTTCTTCCCAGCTTGTGCATACTGGGGTGCTGGTGTGACTTGTAACAGTCACAAGGTTGCTTCCAGTTACCTTCACTAATGGCCTGTAGAGAGCAAGAGGAGCTGCATCCATGGACTTTGCCCTTGCCTATTCTGTGCCATTGGCTCCACTATTTCTCTGTTTGCCCCACAAGAAAGGGAAAATTACTGTTCCATCACCCTTTTTCAGGTCCCTAGTAAGAATGTCTCTGAGGGACCACCACATCTGTCCCCTTTTCTTCTTGGCAGACTCAGCATATTTGACTATTTGTGGTATTTGATGTTTGTTCCCAAGTCACCTGGGAGCTTCTGCACTGAGGTGGAGCTGCACATCAGTGACTGGGAGGTGCATAGGTGAGACTGATCCTCTGCCTGGCATGGGGGTCTGTGCATGCATTAAAATATGTGTTACAAGCTAAATGCTGATACTAGGGCTGTGCCAGGCTAGTGGGATGTGTTTGAAGGGCTCTTGGGACATAATCCATTGGTACTCAGGGCTTTTTCCTCACAAACGTGGGATATGAGCCTGCTAGCCAGGCTCTCCCTGTGCCATGATGGCACTTGTATACAGTGCTCCCTCCTACTGGCAGGAGATCAGGCCTGGTCTTGTTGCAGAGGCTGCAACATTTCATTTAAGTGAATGATAGTATCAGCACTGCCTGTTTGCTTTGGTTAGTTCTATGCAAGTGCACAATCAGCGCAGCAGGAGCTGAGAAACACCCAAAATACCAATGAGGTAGATATTACACCAAGCTTCTGAATACTTTTTCTGTTTCTTTTTTTTCTTTTATCCTCAGCTTATCTAAAGCATAGTAGCTCAGCTGAGATTCAGAACTTCATTTGGACATGTTCTACATGAATTTCACACACATGTTCACAGGTGTTGTATGTGCATGGCCAGCTGTCAGTGAGCTTGGGCATCCACTTAGGTCACTCATAGCATTGGTCCCTTCAGGCTTGGTCCTCCCCAAACAGTGTGAACTGGAAGAGCCCTAGAGATCTGTCCACTGTGAAACAGTTGGTTTTGCCTGGATGCCTGTCTTGGCTTTTTCCTGCGTGGTTAAATGTGGAATATCAGCATGTGGGCACTGCTGGTGTGTGCTGCTTACAGAGCTTTGCTCCTCTTTGCTCTTGACTGCCTCCCAGCTGTGCAAGCTGTCCAAAACCTTGTCCCAAAACAAGGCAGCACCCCTTGTGCATCATGCATGTGCTTGGTTGGGATGTGTCGGGGCAGTGGAGTGGAAGAAGCAGCAGTGAGAAGCAGAAGTGCAGTGAGAGAGGAGGTCACTTCTGAGGATCCTCTAGGCATCTTCTGCTCATAAAGTCCCTGCTATTGCAGTGACAAAGCAGTTGTGAGTCAATGGAGTGGACTGACCTTCTGCAGCAGACTCTGTGTGAGGCAGAATTTCTTGACTTTCTTCAGGCCTTGTTGAGCAAGTGCGATGTTGACTGTCCGGTGCATGCATCCTGGCTCCACAGACACTCTAACAGAGTGGCTTTTTGTCAGATATAAAAGAAAATATACTGAGGATTTCTCAGGCATGGAAATGATCTGTTTGCGTGGTAGGTATCCGGTTCTGAATGCACGGTGACCTCTAGAAAGAAATCTATGGTGCTGCAGACAAATGCCATACCAGAGGAAGATACTTTTGGGGAAATCTATAGCCAGGCAGCAACTTCTTGCAGTAAGAAGTCCTCAAATGGTTGGTTTAGGGAAAGTTTCTGGAACATTGGGAGGCTTTTCATTCCAGGATGCTCCAGGAGTCCCCATTCAGAGCCCAATACTTTGAGACGCTGAATGCTCCAGACAGGCACAAGTTGCCCTCAATTTGTCTTTGGTCTGCAGGACACTCAGCATCCTGGAGCAGCAAACTCCTGCACACAGGGAACAGCAGTGGCACCGCACCAGGTGCAGTTAGAAAAATCAATTATTTGAATGATCACAGCAAGGCACAGCCCAAGCATATCCCCTTTTTGGGAAGAGGAAAGCAATTCTGAATCATCAGAAATGGATTTTCCACATGATTAGCTTTCAGGAAAGATACGACTTGGCCATAAAGATGTATAGTTTTGCTTCTTGTGTCTGTAAGTGAAAGACTGTGCAAGGGGAAATTGTTTATCTCTTTATCATTTTTGGATTCATGCTGAAGTTATAGAATATCTCATTAGGCAAAGATTAAGGAGATGGTGGGTTTTCCTCTAGAGACCTGTAAAGCAGCATTACTGAGCACCACGAGGCATGGCCTCCTTTACCTGCTGATCTAAAATGCATCAGAGAGCTTGACCTGCTTGCTGACATGAATAATCAGCAGTATTTATGTGGATATATATAGTTTCTCCCCAATTATCTAAGGCTGCTTATTTGGACAGCATTACTACGTGCAGTGTTAACAGGAAAAGTGGTGAGAAAAGCTATCGAGTAGAATGCTGTAATAAATATTGTCAGATACCAAGGAGCTTGGAGTAATTGTGTGGGTGCATCTGCATTTTTGTGCAGGTGCTGCTTACTAGCCTAGGAGAAAAGCAGCCAAGTCTCTTCAGAGTGGCCTGGTGAGCATCTTTGGTGTGTAGACTCTTTGGAGAGAGAAGCAAGAGGGGCTGCTTTTCTGTTAATCCCAAGTGGAAGGTGAGTGATGGTCAGTGGGCAACTTGCTGGTCAGTGGGTTCCCTTCCTGAGAGGAGTTCTTCAAGAAGCTCATGTTGCTTAGCAGGGCAGAGCTGCTCCAAACTCTCCACCTCTGCGTTTGCTCTGTGGGCTCTGGCTCAAGCACGCAGCACCTGGGCTGCCTGCAGTGTTTCATGGCGGGGAAAACAGACCATTGAGTGAGTAAATGGCTTTTAATTCCCGTGATTAATGGCACATTGACCCAAGAGATCTCCCTTTCCTCGAGGCCAGAGCTCATGCATGAAGCTCTCAACCCCAGCAGCGGCAGAGCGGGAAGCGGAGGGCGAAGGAGCGACGGAGTGAAGCGTTAGCAGCCGCAGGGCCTGTGATTCTGGAGGCCTGGAGCCATCGGGAAAAGCAAGGCAAAGCCAACAGTTAGAGACATGTTACCCTCTGCAGCAGGGATCTGTGGCAGCATCCCGGTCTATTTGAATTCCCCTGCAGTCGCTCGTGTCTTTGCCTCGCTCCGCGGGGCTCGCTGACGGACAGCTCCCGCAGCGGGAGCGCGGGCTGCCGCTGCAGGCACTAACGCGGTTACACGTGTTCCCAGCCCCGCGCGCTTCCCTCCGCCTTGGGAATGCTGCCATGAGGTTACAGCTAGACGAGTTCCCCTCTCCGCCTCCCTTGCCACTGGGTGCAGAATGGTCTTTGATCTCCTAGCAAACGCCTTAGCTGCATTAAACTGAGGTTGTTGTTAATCATTATTACTATAATCAGAGCAGCACTATTTATGAGACATCTTCCAAATGATGGCAGTTTTGTGTAGCAAGTGTATGTTATTTTTTTTTTTCTTCTGGCACCAATTATTCACATCCAGTTGCAGTCTATAATGGTCTTCTGTGCAATATCAGATTAAGACCATCACAATATGAGTATTAACATCTTATCAGATGCAACTTAACTCTGACTCAATTCCTGTTTCTTTTCTTTTTTTTTTTCCAGTGGGAAGATTATCTTTCTGGTGCTTTAAATAATCCCCTTTTGTTGCCATTAAACCAATCTGTAGCCATGCTGCTCCCTGGAGGGGACTGTCCAGCTCAGCTAGTGTTTGTCTTACAAAGGTATAAAAGGATTTAGATCCATGTGTGCTCCTGAGGTTTTAAACACTTTTTTTTTTCCCCCCTTTGGAGCCAAGAAGCGATGGTGTGGTTGATCAGTCTTGCTTCAGCTGAGCCCTGGGAAGCTGCTGCACTACTCGGTTGTCCCAGCTTAAGCATGGCCACCTCTTGCAGGGTTTGGTGGGAATGCCCAGTGGAGTCTGAGAGACTATTTAAAGTGCAGTGCTCTGGGACTAGAAAATACCTCTTTTGTTCATACTGTTATAAGGACCATGCTGTCATCTCTTACACCATGGTTTGTTCACTGACCCAGTGAGGATTACTCGATTACTCAGCATCCATGTCCTCAGGGTCCCTAGAAACTACCATGGCTGAATCACAGACAGTTCAACATTCCAGCATCTCTTTTTTTTTTTTTTTTTTTTTTTTCTTCTTTTTTTTGGAGCAATGTCACATTCAGGGCAGGAGAAAGGTCTGTACTGCCCGGAGAGCTCAGCAGAGGATGCAGGATGGAGGGTGACATGTCAGAAGTGCTCACCTGCACTCCTGGTCTGCCCTGTTTCATTGAACGTGTTAATTATAGACATTTTAACCTGGAAATGCACACGGCTCCCAAGGGCCTGTCTCTATCAGCTCACTTATTAGCAAAAGTTAAAAGAAAGGCCTTAGACAAAGAAGGCAAATTTGAAAACAGATTCATGGCAGTTTGTCTGAGAAATAGGTCCTCAGAGGTTCTGAACTCTCTCCTCCATGAGAATTTCAGAGAATATAGATTTAAAACTGTTCAAAACTGATCAAAATTAGGGACGGCTAAAAGTTCATAGTTTTTTTTAAACTAAAACTCATGTAATTCTTATTTTTGTTGTGACTATACTGTGTCATCTAGAACAGCTGGCTTAACTTTGTTTTTTATTTCTATGCAAAAATTGACTTGCATAGGTGCAGAAAGAGGATTTTGAGTGTCAGCAGATCATGTCACGGCATCACATTGTCTCAGTGTCAAGGTCCTGTTAGTAAATCTGTGTTTTCCCCAAGACTGAACTTTGTGCATGGATTGAGATTCATTCCACTTCGACTTTCTGAAATTGCCTATGTTGGCAGTCGTGTCATCTAGAACAGCTGGCCTAACTTTGCTTTTTATTTCTATGTAAAAATTGACTTACATAGGTGCAGAAAGAGGATTTGGAGTGCCAGCAGATCATCTCACAGCAGCATGTTGTCTCAGTGTCAAGGTCCTGCTAGAAAATCTGTGTTTTCCCCAAGACTGAACTTTGTGCATGGATTGAGATTCATTCTACTTCATATCAGAGACTTTCTGAAATTGCCTATGTTGGCAGTTTGGAAAATGGGAGCCCCCTCCATGGACCAGTGCATCCCCCATGGTTAACTTGTGCCGTTTGAGGGGTGAATGTCCCCTTTGGTAGGGACTCACTGCTCATTGCAATGACCTCTCTCCCGATGAAGACCTTCAACTAAAGGGACTGAAACTGAGTAGGGTGAATGGGAACAGTAGAAACGCAGGAGCACAAAGGGAAGATCTGCAAGGCAGTTCTAGCGGGCCGGGGACTGTTTTACAGAGCGTGTCCTCTGTAAGGCTTTCTCTTTTCCCTATTCCTACACAGCCAGACTGCAGAAAATCCCTTTGAGGTCCTTGGCTTCCAGCATGGCACTTTGCAACTTCTGATATTCTGCAGCCAGAGAGCATTTTTTGCTGCTTGTGTTTTAGTTCCTTCTGTAAATGCAGGGCCCTGGCTCCCTGTGGGCCATGGCAGGATGGCTGGGAACACCTAAAAGTTTGGAGTTTAAGCTGGAAAACTGCACTATGCTCATCCTGGGTGGGATACAGGGAGCAGGATGGAGGGAGTTCAGCACATGTACAATGAACTCAGTGACTGAAAGGCAGTGATGATCAAGCAGGCAGCAATGCCATTTATCAGCATCCTGAATTAAGTTATTTCTGGCTCCAGGATGCTCTGCTCGGTTCATGCAGCTGGGGAAGATTCTCCTCTGCTTTCTCCCTAGATCTATCTGAAGCCACTGCATGATTAGCCTAGGCCGAGGGCTGGCTGGGATGCTGAAGGGACACAAATGATCAGGGCCTAAGGAGCCAGCGGGGCCGCTAGGGAGTTTCGATGCCTGCCTGTGATGAGTCACAATATTTAAAATTCAGAGCACGCTTCGGGCTTCAAAGCTCCTCGCACAGATTGATAACTCAGGAGCCTGACTCTATTAGTTGCTAAGTAAAAAGAAAACCTATTCGTTTTTTGTCTAACCACCTTGTTTTCGCTTTTCAGAAGAACCTGACGGAGCTGAGGTCCTTTGGATCACCCCCTTCTGCCGTTAGCAATGTCACTGCAGCTGTGATGGTGCTGATGGCCCCTTCTGGAAAGATTCCCAAGGACAGGAGCTGGAAAGCAGCCAGAGTTACCATGGCCCGAGTGGACGGCTTCTTAGATGCCTTAATCAAGTTTAACAAGGAGAATATCCACGAGAACTGCCTCAAGGCCCTGCAGCCATATTTGCAGGATCCCCAGTTCCAACCCGAACTCGTGGCCACCAAGTCCTATGCGGCCGCCGGCCTCTGCTCCTGGGTCATCAACATAGTGCGTTTCCATGAGGTCTTCTGTGAGGTGGAGCCCAAGCGGCAGGCGCTGAGCAAGGCCAACGCGGAGCTGGCGGCTGCCCAGGACAAGCTGGCCAACGTCAAAGCCAAAATTGCTGTAAGTTGAAGAGAACGAGGCAGGCTATGACTTGTGCTTGACCTGCTGTGGGACCTGCCATGCCAGGTGCTGCGCAGGGAGAGAAGTCCTCAGCGTTTGGATAGGGCTTCTCTTGCCACCCCTACTTTTTAAGAGGGCTAGTTGTGAGGATCTGACAGATTGTGGTCTTTTATCTCACTTTCCTAGATGTTGCTGCCTTTTATAATTCATCTTTGCTGTTTCTGTCTTGCTTACTCCTTAATAAGAAGGCTGATTTTTAGTTCTTATTATTCCTAATAGTTAAAATATTTACCACGCTACTCATGAGTCCTCGGAAGTTCTTTCATCTCAAAGCAATGCATGTCCTCAGCGTGCCGTATAGATGCAGGGAAAAGGAAACAGACTAATTTAGGGTATTTGTAACACAAAAAAGCAGTAGGTTGGCTGGCCCCTCTGTCTCTCAGCACAGTGCCGGTTAATAGTTATATTTTGCAGGCTGAAGACTGCTGTAGTGGGATTCTAGTAATTTGTTACGGCACGGCTCCCTGTTGGCATATCTTATGCATCACCCTTATTTAGAATTTCAATACTTGCTTTAGAGTAGAGAAAAAAGATCACTGAATACAAGAAATTACTGTGTGATTAGAAGTGCGTTTCTGCAGAGAGCAGCTTCCATGCTTTCTCCTTGGCATCTTAGAATTATCTTTCCATTAAAAACAGGTTTTCCTCCCCCACCACCTGCAGCTGATGCCCAGTCATAGTGAAGGATGGAGAGCAACGAAGAGGTCAAAGCCAAGCAGTCCCTGGGATAGCAGCATAGCATCCCATCCCTCACTTTTTCTCAGTTTGTTTCCAACACAAGGCCATTTGTCATTTGCATTCCCAAATCTGCTTTCTTGGTTGTTTTTTGTAGTGTAATGTTTTTGTTTGTTTTGTTTTGTTTTAAGATCTGAGCAGCTGTGCAGGCCCTTTTTGCCATCAAAGGCTTCTTTGTGGGTAGACTTTAATACTGACCGCATAATTCATGCAAAATCCCCTCTCCAAAGTGCATTCTCAGCCCTGCTGTGTTGCTAGCATGGTGCAACTGAGAACTTTGTATCTTTAATAAAATGTCCTTAAAATGTCTGTCTGCACAGCCAGACCAGCTACTCCAGCTGGATTCACCCACTTACTTGTTACACCTGTGCATCATAGCATTAGCCCTCTTGATATATCCTAGAGTTTGTTCTTGAAATTATCACTATGCTTTTAATTAAAAATATATAAAATCTGCAGTAGCTTCTTTCCACTGCAGATAAAATGGAAGAGTGTACTCACAACCTGAAGGGGGAATGGATTTAGAGGTATTTAGCCTCTAGTTCTCTCATCTTGGATGTGAAATACGGCACTAGGGAACTATTTGGATCCCTTTACTCTGCTTGTTTCCAAACTTTTTAATGCCTGAGCTTTTTTAAAGAAGCGGGATTTTGATAAAGCAAATGGAAATCTTTGGGGGGATTAGTGGTACTCCACTGGAATACACTTGCAAAACTGACTATTTTAAGTGATTTTTTTTTTCCCCTCAGTGCAATGGGTAATGACATCGTGCTCGGTGTGCAGCATGTGTGGGTGGATGGGGAGGGAGAGCCTTGCAGATCAAGCCAAGATACCTTGGAGAGCTTCACTGACTACAGCGAAGTCATGCTCAGAACCTGGCTCAGAGCATTTGGAGCAGTAAATGAAAAATTCTTGTCATCACAAATACTAAGCACCTTCCACTCTCCTTTTTTTTGCCTGGAGAATATGGTAGCTTGTGCTATAGGGAAGCAAGATGGATGTATAAGCAAGTTACATACTCACATTTACACACCAAATGTGTAGATATTCTTGTATGTTACTATAGAACCTATCTGACAGTATAGGACAATACTGTACTTACGATTTCTTCTTGAAAGGCTTATAGGTATTCACTGATCAGATATCACATGTGTAATGGCATTTTTCTGTATTTGAACATGTTTATGTAAATATATTCATTACACATGAGAAGACACAGACTATTTGTGTTATTAATCCTAAGCCAATTAAAGACTATTTTGAGTTCTCTAAGCTAATGGAGAACTATAGATATCCTTAGTATAATCCTTTTCATTTTTGAGTTTGTTTCTAGTGCTTAGCTCAGTGTTAATTTACAGTCATTTAGCCTTAAACAGTTTGCTTTGGGTACAGATAAAATCGATTATTACCTCTACTTCTCTTATCTCCAAAGTAAAATATTCCAAGAACTCATGGGAGAAGTTCATTTGTTTTAGACCAAAGTGTGAGCACCTCTGTCCAAGCCCAGCTGTTTGTTTGTTTTTTCTCTTATTGAATGAGGAGCACTGTAAGGTCCAAGGGGTTTAGGTTCTTTCTGCAACTTCCCAGCGCTGCAGCTATTTCCAGCCAACCTGGATGTGTGATGGTTCCATCTAAGAATGCATCTGATTGAACTTTTCACCTGGAAACCTGCCTTGTTACACACACTCTGAAGGGCTGAAGAACTTTATCAATTTCTCTGTATTGCTCCCAGGTGCTAAAGATGCAGCCTGGAGATGCTTCAAACGTATCTCCCGCTGTTCAGTGGGAGCTTGTGATGGAGCTTGGCTAACCCAGCTTTTCAGGTTGCTGATGGTCTGTTTCAAGGGAGTAGGCACACTTACCAAGCTTGGAAGTCCTGCAAGCTGTGGCTGTGACAGGGATGTCTGTCCCTCAACAAGTCAGATACAACTTTTGGATGTTTTTATTGGAAAAAAATGGTATTTTGAGTAGGCATATCCTTAAGTACTGCTGTATTCTCCTTCCTTTCATACGCAGCGCCTCAATGAAAACCTGAGAAAGCTCACAGCCAAGTTTGAGAAGGCCACTTCAGACAAACTCAAATGTCAGCAAGAAGCTGAAGCTACAGCCTGTACCATCTCCCTTGCAAATCGTCTGGTGAGTATCAGCAGATGGAACTTTAACTGTATGAATGGAAGTTGTCAGGTGCCACTGAGATGCAAACCATGTGCACAGTACATTACATCCTCTAATTTTTTTTTTAGAATACATTATATTTCCTGCATTGCAGCAAGTTCCAGTAATGAAAGTGATTTTGCATTGGCTGTTTTTATAGATCTGGGTAAGCTCTGTATGTATTTACAGAGAACCGCCTGGCTGTACTCTCCTCACAGCTCTCATATTTTTGTTACTTAATTGCATGGTCAAATATTGTTGTGTCAAAAGTATGTGACCCAAAGATTGTATCTTTAAAACAAGGGAAGGAGCTTGTTATAGCATTTGTGGGGTTTAAAATCACAAAAAAAATAGTGAAAGGAGAAAAAAAAAAGGCATATGTCCCTGTTATCAGTGCATCGATATGCATCACAGTCTGTTGTATCTTCAAACAATCTGGCCTCCTAGCCCTGTGCTGGGGCAATGCCCGTGTCGCTGTTTCACAGATAAGAGACTAAGAGATAACAGCTTCTGTTCATGCTGTCCTGTTAGCACCAGCTCACAACCTATTCTCTCCCTTTACTGCTTTTTATTTTGTTTTTTTTTGCTCTGGCTGCAGTCTGGAGCAAGACAAGGAATCAAGGGTGTGAGGAGCCTCTCTCCTACTTGAGCTCTGCACGTTGCCCTCTTGTTGCTAAAGCTACTTCTGCTTGCATGGCTGGTGGCAAAATACAAAAGTATTTCTATACATAATGAAGAAGACAGATTTTTCTACTAATTTTTACCAGACTTTGGCTGTGATGGGCAGGAATTTGTGTGAAAAGTAGTCATCTATCCTCATGGAATCTGTAGTGATAGAGAGAAGAGATAGTCAAGCAGTTAAGTTTTTGCCCAGCACCTTGGAATTTGTGTTCAGTTCTCCATTTTCTGCCTTCAGACAGATGGGATGTTCAGCAAATTACTTTAGCCTGGATTTTCAAAGCGATTTAGATTTCTGGGTGTTTCCAGAGGAATCTGGGCACCTGAAAACACCGGCATCTACTGGGGCATCTTAGTGCTCCCGAAAAATGCACAGCTCACCTGTCTGCAAAAACTCCATGTGCCTCCTTTGGAAATTAGGAGCACAGCACCTCGGTAGCACAGACAGCAGCTCTGCAGGGGAATGCAGACGGGCCTGTGATACACTCAGATATCAGGAGTCAAAGACAAACAGCAGATAAGTCCCTTCCTGTACTGATGTAGATCTCTTACACAGCCAGAGAATAAGTTTTAGGTTTTCATGTTCTTCAGGTTAAATCTCACTGAATGCTTCCAAAGCCTTTAATTAACATGAGAAAGTAGCATTTCATTTGAAAGAGCAGTTTATATTTCTAGGGAGATTTTGCAGCATGACTGTTTCCTTGTGTCTTTCTGCAACCGAACAAAATCCTGTTTAACTGTAACACGTGATGTGGAGGTAGTTTGTGGTTCTGAGCCATTTATAAATCAGTAAATGCGAAATACAGAAAGAAAATGTTTCATGAAAAATACAGCATAGAAATAATGGTTTGATTTTTTTTTCCATATGTATGTATTTTTTTACACTAAAGATAGCTTAATTTCATCTTTATTGATACCACTGTAACAAACAAGCTGAATTCTTGGAGATACATGCTTGCAATGCATATTCTTGTCTTAAAATGTAAGTCTTCATTCAGGTGTAATTTTGATAAGGAAATACCTTACATTTTTTGCAAGGGAGGGAAGGGGACTTTGTTATACTACCAAAATTGTCCTTGAAAAATAAAATAAGAAAATATTTTTAGCGAGATGGATTGTCACATTGCATATGTTCTGTCATAAGGAACGCACACCTTAATAATCTACTGAAAGAAAGAATTTTGCTTCTGAAATGCAGATAAGACATTGGAACCAAATTTTGGAAACTCTTTTTTTTAATTGGAATTAAGATTTTCCTGATAATATATGTGTCTACCTGTAGTTTGATAGTACTGTGTTTGTTTTGTGGACAGCACAGTCTGGGAAGCAACAATTTTGGGAGTAATCTTGCCTTTAAGCATATTCATTACCTTACCAATTAACTGTGACTGCTCACAGGCTTCGGGTCAACACATGCTTAAAAGCAGTATTTGTTTTGTTGGTGCTGGAGCCAGTTTAGCTGTGAAATAATCTTCCAAATATTTCATTATATAGAAATGTTATTGGTAGATGACTTCATATAGCAGTTTAGCTCCTTTGTCTTTAAAAGCTCTGTATTCCTTTTCTTTAAAATGCTTTGGATGACCTTGATGACTAGTTTTCAAAGAATATTCTCATTATAAGGGCAGTGTAAAGAAGTCTCCGTATTGGATGTTATGGTAACAAGCATAGAAATCCTGAAGTCGTTAAAGCAATCCCGAAACAATTAAGCACAAACTGCTTTTTGCACCACACTCCTCTTTGGTGCTGTGCAAACACAAATACTGCACTGTTCTTTCTTTCCACCAGTAGATGACACTGGACGTTCCTACATTTATTTCAGTATTTTATACCAAAAGTAGAATGTTCGGATGATTAGGTTTCAAATCTCTTGTTGAAACTACTCCTAGAGAAGCAAATAGAAAATTGTTAAAGGAAAAAGGAGGATTCATGAGCATCTGGCCTGATCTTTGCATTAAGAGAACTTGGTGGAATAGACTCGTTTGATTTTGAAGCAGATATAGGATATTTTGCGTGTTTAGGCTTTGCATTTTTAAATAAGATGGTTATTTTTCAATGCCATTTTCATTTAAACGGAATGTAGACTTTTGTTCAAGTACAGTACATTGCCATATTGGGGACTGACTTGTCACAAACTCCTATGCTCAGGAAGGTGATGCCCAGAGAAATTATTTTGAAGAGCAGTTTTGCCCTGTGTTTGAAAGCATGGAGAGTTTCCCCAAGCTGTATCCTCTACATGCGCAGCTGAGAAAAGCTGAACTTCATTTTCTGTGTAATCTGCCAGTGTTACCTTCTTCCACCCCTTCCCAGGCCTGGTACCAAGACCTCATCCCCTCTAGCATCAGGTGGAAATTCCTCTTCACTTCATCATTTCAGAAAAAAAAAAAAAAGAAAAAGAAAAGTAACTCTGAGTAAATGGGTAGATGCCCTTTGAGGCAAGTGAAAAGCCTGCTGACTCAGCAGCTCCTGCTTGCACTGTCTAAATCACCCTAGGCGGGACGAGAAGTCAAGTTAGGAGGCAAATCTCTGTTCCTTCATTCAGGATCATACAGTTCTGGAGCATCATACAACTGGCACAGTCTTTTCAGTGATTAGGAAGATGAGTCCTGGCTGGATTTTGCTGTAAAAACAGTGTATTTCATATTGATTTTGAGCTAGCAAATATCATCTGCCTGGGTAAATTCTTCAGCCTGACAGCCAAAACCATTGATAACAGATTAGATGCTGAGAGTTTAGAGAAGCCAATGTCAGCGCTGTGTTTTTATAGAGGAAAGGAGGATAGAGTGGGATATTTTGGGTTGTGTTTCCGTCTTTGGCTTGCTGAGGGATATATGTACACATACAAAACACAACGGAAAGCCAACCTGCTGCTCCAAAGAATGCACAGCCTAAGAAAGGCCGTGACAGCAAACAAGGGAAGAAAAATAGATATCCATCCCATTTACTGTCTGCTGCTGTGATGTCTCCAAATGCAAAGGTTAAAAAGATATTTGAATGGTGCTTGAAGCTCTCCTAATACTGCAAATAAGGTGCACAAATTATCTTTCTGCGGTTCCTTCCTTTCCAGCCCTCTTAACCCTGTGCAGCTGTGCCAGGAAAAATATGGAAATGATTAAAAGACTTAGCAGTACATGTGTATGACCTACCTGGGAGCCTTTCCTGCAGGGACTCTCTCTGCTAGCTTTGTCTTAAGACTAGAGCTTATATCAAGGGACTGTCACCTTCAGCTCTCCAACCTCAGGCTCGGAGCAAGGGTATGTTGGATGGAAGTGTTTTATGTCTTGCTACCATAATGAGGGCTCTGACTTCCCTCTTGCAAAAATACTTTTTACAATGTACCTGGAGGCGCATTGCAACGACAGCCGCTGGAGTGAGTGTCCTGCTCCCAGAGCAGATCAAGCACCAGGTCCTGCAGGCAGCATTAGCCACTGTCACACAAAGTCGTTCAAACTAAATCCAGCCACTCTGTCTCATTACACTTGGGAGAGGAGAGCAGGCTGTCAGATCAGACTTGTGCCTCCATGGAAGCCCCTGAATAAGTGACTCTGGTGTTCCCATATGGAGCTTTAGTGGGAGGAGGAATTCAGCTTTTGCCAGCTGTGATTCAATTATAAAGAGAGGAAGGTCCCTGTGCTCCCCCATACTGCCACAGAGCTGCAAGACGTGGCAGGGGGCAATGACCATAGTCCCTGCTTCTTGTTGAACGTATGGAAAATGACAACAGGGCAATAGGATTAGGATCAGGGCAATCTAAAAGCCTGGACAAGGTCAGGGGTGTTTCTGCTGGTGGGAACAGTTCCATGAAGCTTCTGGGGAGAGGAGGATGGAGGAGGCCAGTCCACAGGAAGGCAGCCGTCCCCAGCCTGCAGCAGAGATGCTAGCTGCAGTGTTTACATCATAGCGTACTAGTGATGCTGTTTATTTAAAGGATGTCTCAATTATCAATGAAATCCCGTTGTTCTTGTCAGAGGATGGAAAGCAAAGCTGGAGGAGTGGTGATATGGGATCCCAGATCATCCCACGTCCTCCCCAACTCTGCCCTGGGATCTGTTGTTATTTGCATTTCTTTGGGTTCATTGAAGGACCAGGCATCTCTGCAGGTAGCAGCGACCAAGCTCATGTTGTGAACAGCTGCTAGCCGGGGTCATAGCTGAAGGAGCTCCACGTGATCAGTTGTAAATGCAGACTAGAACAAGTTGTGTCATTGCTGTCAAAAATGGCTGTTTTGCAGGGCTGCAAGAGCCCATCCCAGTTAACTGCTGTGCAGGATGTATCTTCTTCCATGTCATCTCTGGGTTTGATCTAGGAAGAGATCCTGGTAGCCCTTGCTGACGTGCAGTTCATTAGACATCCACGTTATGGCACCTGTGTTGATCTGTGTGGGCAGATCAATGTCCCTGGAATTTGAGGGAAAAAAAGAAAATTGAGGTTGTATAAAGAATGTGTTTAATAAATTCAACTAGTGGCTACTTGGGGTTGAAAAGTGAACCAAGGGAGATGAAGGCAAGCTTAACTTTTACATTCACTCTTGCCTTCATTTCAATTTGGCATATCATGAAGACAACCTAGGAAACCAGCTTCAGACTCCAAGGGGCCAGAGGCAGGTAAAGTTTAGTGATCTGTGAACCAGAAAAGGGAGCGCGGTAAATGGGAATATTTGTGGGTTGATACGTGTTAACGTTGCAGATAAAATTTAGTGATGGTAAATGCAAAATAATGCATGCATGGAAAATGAACCCTAATTATGCATTTACATCAATAGACTCTATGGACTATTATCACTTAGAGAAGAGCTCTTGGAGTCATTTTAGAGAGTTCTCAGAAACAGCAGTGTAGTACTCAGCTGGAGATAAAAAGGCAAACTGAGTATTAGGAATTAGTAGGAAAAGGTTGGAGAAGAAAGATTAAATGATCATTATATCACTCTACATCTATGGTGTGCCTGTACCTTGCGTGCTGCACACAGTGCTGGTTAGCCCATCTCAGAAGGCTCTAAGTGACCTAGAAAAAGTACAAAGAAGTATATAACAGCTTTGGTTTGTGAAGAGAGGAAATAGATTATGACTCTTCAGCTTGGAAAAGAGCTGGTGTATGGATGGATGCGACAGAGCCTATAAAATCATGAATGATATGCAGAAGGTGAATAGGGAATGATTGCTCACTATCCCTTATTACCAAAGAGCTAGAAGTAATCAAATGCAATGGTTTTAAATTTGCTACTTGCTTAATAAAAAGAATTCCAATGAGTTCTAGAGTCTGTTGATGATGACCCTAGGGATTTCTTTAAGATACTAAAACTGTCAGTAGTCTGTGACCCATGCGAAGGAAAAAAATTAATGAAGAAAAGACCACCAGGACGTAAGGATGAAAATACACTGGAAGAAATTAATTAGGAATAAGTAGAGAGGCTACTAGTATTAAAAAAAATAGATCAGCAAAGGCTTTGTAGTCTTTTAGGCTGAGTACTATGGGGGTAATATGAGAACTGACCTTCTCAAGGAGACAGGAGAAAAAACCTACAGGTTTAAAAGAAGCAAAGTAAAGATGGTGGAAGTGAACTCCGATGTGTTATTAGTGGGTTTGAGACTAAGGCTAATCTAGATATGATCCTAAAATTAAAGAGTAAGGCTTTATTTCTGTTTCGGCTAGCCAATATAGGAACAGTCAGGCAGAGAGAGATCAGGTTGTGTCTAGTTTCAGCTAGACTACAGCTGTGGTCCCAAACCAGTGTCTGGACAGAACAAGAGCAGAGCAGGTATTCTGAATGCCCCTGAGCGTTTCTTGCCTTCTCATGTTGTATTTCAGCGAGCATGGGAGCATGCGTAAGGCAAACCATAAGATGGAGAAAAAGAAAATAAAGGAAATTCATACAAATGAGGAAGCATAATTACAGCTGAAATAACTGGATGACCTGGAAATTGCAATAGTAATGGAATGCAATCCATTAATGCAAGGTGTTGCTGTGTATTATGAACTAATGGTAGACATTTCTATCTAAAATTAGGAGCTTATTGGTCAGCAACCAATGAGGACCACTTGAATGTATTTGTGGAGGCTTTGCCTCACTAGTAATACAGCTGTAAGAAAGATGTATTGGAACAGGTTTATGGCAGGGCTTGAGGATGAAGAGGGGAATAGAAAATCTGCATCTTTTCTTTGTGTTCTTAGAAGGAGTTAAACTGCTTAGAAGGCAGTTTTCCTCAGTTTCTTAGAAATGGTCAGCTTTGTCAGGGCAAGGAGGCCACCAGGGATATTTTGCTGGTATCTGTTAGTTCTTCTGTTCATAGGGGTAAATGAAGTGGAAAAGGTGGTGAGTAAGCAGATTGTGTAGTTTAAGAACATGAATACAGGAAAAAGATAAAGACTGTCTACAAATAATTGTAGAAATAATGTCAAATAATGGAGGAATAAAATACCAGGAGAAATGCAGGGTGGATAAATGCAATGTACACTGGAAAAAAAATTAGTGCTCACTTTACATAAAGAGTGAAAGATACTGAGCTAGTTATCATACAGGAATTAAGTGTTGGAGATAGAGTTCTGTGATTAAGCGAGCGCTGTGTTGCCAGAGGAAAAAAAAATCAAACTCAAATCCCAAACTGAAATTGAGTGTTAGGGTTTATTGGCTAAAGAAGAGAGAACAAAACAAAAAAGAAAAGATCACCAGCTTAATGTATAAATCCATCCTGAATAAATTTTGAACATGCAACTGTTCAAAATATGTCTGTCCCTGCTGCTACCTTAAAAAGATATAATAGAATTGGAGATGATGCAGAAAAGGTAACAATAAGAAGAAACTGGATGATAAAGATTGCATCATCTGATAAAGATAAAGATTGCAAGGACAATCAAAAGGCCTCTGTATGAGGAGCGGTACAGACTGAAGTTCTTCAGCCTTGGAAGGACACAGTAAAAATGGTAGCAAGGGCTTTGAAATTAGAGAGGTATGGAGAAGGTGAAACTTAAAGATCACTCACTGTTTTTACATGGTGAGAATGGTTGCTAACAAATGAAAAGGTCAGGCA